TTTTTTTTGGTTTGTTTGTTTTGTTTCGTTTTCATTGACAGGCCATGGCTGGGTTTGAACCCGCCACCCCTGTTGCATGGGGCTGGTGCTCTCACCATTAAGCTATAGGTGCCCAGCCAGTGTATAATTAATTAATAACAGTACTTAAGACATCAAGAGGTCACGCCTAAGTAAGTACCAAGGAGGGAGTTCTAGAAATCAATGCTGAAACTGCTAAGTCCTTAATGGCCACTATTTATACTTTCAATAAACTCTCCAGTTATTAATATTCACTATATTTCCTGGAGAAAGTCCTCCCACCATTTTCTTTCATAAATAGGAGATTTTAATGTACACCACAGAGCATAAATGGGACTTGCCCACTCTGACTTTGTTCATCAGTTAAAGGCTCAATGTGCTCTCACTAGTTCATCTGTTCATGGGCTGCTCATCGCTACTCATCACTAATTTTTGCTGTCTCGCTGCTTATTTTCTCCTATCTGCATGAGTGCAGCTAAGTCAAATCCCTTAATACGACTACTGTCAGTTCATGGAAAAGGTCAGAAGAGAAGGCAAAATAAATCTGCCTAAAATGAAACCAAGACCTAGTAAAGCTTCCATAATGTCACCTGTCCTCTTCTCTCATTTACAATTATCTAAGAATCTCAAGTCCACAAGGTAGCCAGCCATTTGACAATCTCAAGTGCTTACCTCCACCAGGATAGAAACAAGGGCATTGACAAGGACAATGAAGAGCATAGTTAAACGCCACTGATATGGTACACACACTATCTGTAAGACAAAAAAAAATCGAATGTTAAAACTGTCGTATGTAGTTGATATTACAGTACTATAATCATAATTTCTAAATGTACTGAATTCCTATTATATATAAACTCTTCTCACACACATTATTTATTTAATCCTCGACAATGCCACAAAGTTCAGTAGAATCTCCACAGTGGACCTCCTCCCTACAGTGACCACCTCCTTCAGCTGACCTAATTTTCACAGACTGGACATGCAGCACATGCACTAAGACCTAGTTCCCTGTGTTGATCACTTCCGTATGTTGACCAGTTTGTTGCAGTCCCTTGGGTGGTCAACTTACACAGGTTCTACTATATATACTGTATCCATCCACTTTTCAAATGATAAAACTCAAAGTTTAACTCAAGGTTAAAGAAAATATTAAGTGGCTGAGCTAATGAATGAATGAATCCTAGTCAGACTCAAAAGCCCCTGCTCTAATACAGCAAGAAATGATGGTATCCTGAACTATAGTGACAGCAACAGAGCACTGGCAAACGAGACTGGAATAAAGACAGTAAGAGATTCAGAATAAGAACACTGAAAAAAATCTAACAATTGGCTGGCTATGAAAAGGAAGGAAAAAAAAGGAAAAAAAAAAAAAAAAAGAAAAGGAAGGAAAGATAAGGATAGCCATACACGCACACACATTTCCAACGAAGATAAATAGTGGTAGTACGCAACACAGTAGAAAAGGGTTAAGGGAGAACATTCTGAGTTTAGTTTTTAAAATGCTGAAATGGACAGAACTATTGGATGGAACACCCAAGTAAAGAGTCAGGATGTCAGTGGATATGCAGACCTAAAGCTCAGCAGTGAGAACCAAGCTGAGTTTTTAACAAACAGGTAGCAATTATAGGGTAAAGCCATGACTACAGGGGAGATCACCTGACTGCAGACTGACAAGGACAAGAACAAAAATGTGAGGAATGCTAACATCTGAGGAACAGGCAGAGGAATAAGAGTCACAGAGCTAAGAAAAGGCCAGGAAAACATCACAAAATTCCAGGGGGATGTTTCAAGAATGAAGGCATGACTAACTGGTCGAATACTGCTGGAGAGCCAAGTGAAAAGGGAAAAAAAACTTTTTTAAGAAGTCAATTCCACTGGACTTAACAAAAAGGTTGTTAATGGCCCTGGTAAGGGCAGTTTTAGTAGATTTGCAGGGGTAGTTACTAAACTATTAGACAAATGTGTGGGAGGTGAGTTGAATGTAGTACTATTTCAAGTTTAGTTGTAAAGCAGAAGACATGTGTAATGGGAGAGAAATATGTTTTCTTCTTTTTCTTAAAGTGCTTGTCTAAATCTCTCAATCAAGCATACAAGGAAATAGCCACACATACTGCTATTAAGACTATCACCAGTGGCTTGGTGCCCGTAGCACAGTGGTTATGGCACCAGCCATATACACCAAAGTTGGTGGGTTTGAACCCGGCCTGGGCCAGCTAACCAACAATGACAACTGCAACAAAAAAACAGCCGGGCGTTGTGGCAGCCCCTGTAGTCCCAGCTGCTTAGGAAGCTGAGGCAAGAGAACTGCTTAAGCCCAAGAGTTTGAGGTTGCTATGAGCTGTGATGCTACAGCACTCTACTGAGGGCGACATAATGAAACTCCGTCTCAAAAAAAGAAAAAAAATTCTAGATACTCCTTGACCAAATAATTCCACTTCTGCACATTGAGCCTTTAAGTACACATTTGTCCATAAAGTGTATAAAGATTTATAATACAGCATAGTCTATAGCAGCAATACACTGGAAACAACCTAAATATCCATCAAAACAGGACCAGTTAAACAAATGTTTTTAAAGTCCATGTAATGGAATACTCATTCCATAAAATAGATATATGTATATATACACACCCCCAAGCCTGTCAATAACATATAAGAAAAAAAAAATTAAGTCTGAACACATTCACGCAGCAGAGGTGAAAACCCAAACAAAGTCATGGCAACTCAAATCCAGGGGGTTTAAAAGAATGCACCATGGCTCAGCACCTGTAGCACAGTAGTTATGGCACCAGCCACATGTACCAAAGCTGGCGGGTTCAAGCCCAGCCTGGGCATGCTAAACAACAATGCCAACCGCAACAGAATAACAGCCAAGCATTGTGGCAGGCGCCTGTAGTCCCAGCTACTGGGGAGGCTGAGGTAAGAGATTCACTTAAGCCCAGGAGTTTGAAGTTGCTGTGAGCTGTGATGCCACTGCACTCTACTGAGGGTGACACAGTAAGACTCTGTCTCAAAAAAAAAAAAAAAAAAAAATCAATCAGTCAATAAAAGAAGGCACCATGACCAAACTAGACTTACTCTATGAATGCAAAGTTAGTTCTGTATGTGAACATTAGTCAAATATACTACACCATATTCTCCAGGAAGAAAAATGATGTGACCATCGAACAGTTATAGGAAAAGCACCAGATAAAATTTAAAAACCATTCATGTTATAACTACACTATAGAACAGGTGTCCTCAAACAACAGCCCGCGGGCCACATGCGGCCCACCAAGGACATTTATGCGGCCTGCTGGGTGTTTTTGCCGCCGCTGCCTGTCCTGCTTAGCAGCTGACTCGTCCCGGGGCCCACAGTCTGGCCCTCCAATGGTCTGAGGGACAGGGAACTGGCCCCGTTTAAAAAGTTTGAGGACCCCTGCTATAGAAGGAAACTTCCTTAACCTGACAAAGGCTGTATGTTAGAAATCTACAGCAAACGACATATTCACTGGTGCAATACTGAAACTCCCTTTAGAGTCAAGAATAAGACAAAGATAAAACTATCACTATGACCAATTTATTAATATATACAGACATGAATAATACAGAAAGGGTATGTAAGAACTGTGACATGTCAGAAACAAATGTTTTATAATTATATATGATGACTATCTGAACAAAAAAGTGGAAGAAACACCTCAAGTATGCCTGAATGAAGTTTGACAAGGCCTCTGATGTTCGATGAATAATAGCCAAAATAATCACAGTGAAAATATACCAGCATGAAAAAAATTAGAGAATATCATTTTAAATAGATATCTTTTCCTCGCATGCCATTTTCCCCCTAAAAATACATGTATCATACTTATATACATAAATTCATACCATTTATCAAGGGAGCAAAAAAATAATACTCTAAGAAAATATAAAACAAAAAATGTGTAAAAATCCTTTAGGTAGAAAAGTAGTAGGTTTATTAAAAGATAAGTCAGGACTTAAATAAATAGAGATATTGTTCATGGAAAGGGAAACTAATCAATTATCTTCCAAATTTAATAAACTCAGTATAAGCCTAATAAACCCAAGAGTATCTTTCTTGGTACTTGACAAGTTAAACTTAGAATTTAAGAAGAATAGCCAAAAAAGGTCATGATGAACCACAGAGTGAGATGGGGGTAGGAAGGATTCTGTTCAACCACATGTCAAGATTCCTTATAAAGTTACAGCAATTTAGACCATCAAGTACTAGCACAAAAAAAAAATCTAAAAAACAAACTATAGAGCCCCTAACAGGCTAATAGTCATGTATGTGGAAAATTGATAAAGGACAAGAGGTATCACCGAAGATCAATGGGAAAAGATTGGCTATTAAGTAACACTGAAACAAATGGGCATTCATAAGGGAAAAAAATTTGATCCCTGTCCAAAAGCTATCTGCACAGTTAATTCCAAATGGGAAGAAAAACTAAATGTGAAAGAGGAATATCATTTATAACTTCAAGATAGACAAATCTGCCAAACAAAAGAAACACAAAGAAAAAAAATTATCACATACAACTATTAGAAAATTATAATTTTTTTTTTAAGAAAGATATTATAAACAAAGTAAAAAGACAAGCCACAAGCTGGGAGAAGATATTTATCAATATAAGATAGCCACATATGGTTTGGCGCCTGTGGCTCAAGTGGGGGGTGCCAGCCACATACACCTAAGGTGGCAGGTTCGAATCCAGCCCAGGCCCGCCAAACAGCAATGATGGCTGCAGCCAAAAGACAGCCGGGCATTGTGGCGGGCACCTGTGGTCCCAGCTGCTTGGGAGGCGGAGGCAGGAGACTCGCTTGAGCCCAGGAGTTGGAGGTTGCTATGAGCTGTAATGCCACGGCATTCTACCCAGGGGGACAGCTTGAGGCTCTGTTGCCAAAAAAAAAAAAAAAAAAAAAAAAAAAAGGTAGCCAAATACATTGAGAACTCCTAAAAGTAAGAAAGAGATAAGCTCCTGGTAGAAAAAAATGTGCAAAAGACACGAATAGGCAGTTCATAGAAGAAATAAAAATGACCAATGAACATAAAAAACATCTCAACCCCATACCTTATTTAGTAGGTTTAATTATTGTTTTTAAAATCTCTACAGCACTGCATACCTCCTCATTTCTCAGACCTGGGGTGAACTGCTCCCACCTCTACTCTTTGGTACACCATTATTTACCCCACGCACCAAGAAGAGTAATGAGATAATGGAATCATGGCTTTTTTGTTTTTAAAGACTGAGAGACATTTAATTTCTTTGTAGAGAAATGGGCATGGAACCAGAGGCAGAGAGAGAACAGAAATAGCCAATAAAAGCTACAATTTAAATCACGTTCTTTATTCTTTATTAAGAGTACACTTGAGTTAACATAACTGCATCTTAGAAGATATAAAAAGAGATCCTGGGGGAAAATATAGACAAGTTAGTCTTTTTCCCCAGTAATAAAAAAGCAGTGGGATGGGATAAATCTTAAATCCTTATTCAAGACATCCACAAGTCTCAATTGGTTAAATTTCATGTAATACTGTGTCACTTTCTATTACTACTATTTTACTACTGCTATCCCAGTTACTACCAACCATCGGATAACAAGTAATAAATGAGATGTTTATTCCTTACCTGAAGAACCTGGTCAAGAGAGGCAACTGGATGCAACATGATGAATAACACAAAAACATATAAAATAATTACAGATATAACAAAAAAATCTGGAAAAGAAAATAAAACAAATTAGGGATAAATTAGGGATTCCTTTAAAAGAAAAAGCATCCAATAACAACTGGTATACCATCATTCCTAAATTTGGTTTTGAATACTTTTAACATTTAAGTTATAAAATGTATAGTATAAAGCATGTGCTCTGTTTCCTAGAGTATGAGACACTGCGATGTTATATATATTTAAAGCTTTAAGCTTAAAAGTTCTCTGGAAAATAATCATGGCCCTCTATCTAGCCTGAGGCAAGAGAGTAACACTCAGTTTCCCAAAAAAAGTTCCTATTTGAAGTCAGCTTCAAATTCAAACTGTACTAGAGCATCTATAACCAAAACCTTTTCATAAAGCCTTCAGATTAGGTAAAGAAGTTGGTGTCCTTTTTACTGACTGTAAACAAAGGGTTTCAAAGCTATTTTTAAATGTGGGAGTTATTTGTAAATACAAACTTTATTAATATGTCACTGCAAAAGAATGGGCCAATTATCATTCTATAGAAATTATCATTCTATATCATTATTTTTATGTTTACAATATATATACTTTATTTTTTAAATACATATTTTATATAACTATGTATATAATGTGTGTATATGTAGCTCTAGCAGCTTAGAATGAAATTTATACTAACTATACTCATTCCAATGTAAGGATTCTTTTCCATCATGAGCCACTAACCAACAGGATGAAAAAACCTGGAATGCATGGCTGTGTAAAAAGCAATTTTTTTCTAGATTTTAAAAAATTCAACTAAATTATAAATAGGAAATGTAGCATTCTATTTCATAAACACAGCAACTAAAAGTGGTATTTAACTTGTATCGTCATTCATTAGCTGGGTGCCCACAGCTCAGCGTTAAAGCACCAGCCCCATGCACCAGGGGTGGTGGGTTTGAATCCAAACCAGGCCTACTAAACAAAAAACAAAACAAACAAAAAAGTTATATAGTCATTCAAGTAGTTATTGAATTAGTGAAAGAAAAAATGTTTGGAAGTAGAGAAAAACAGAAATGAAAAAAGACAGAAATGTGAAAAATGGCCACATACACCAAGGCTGGCGCGTTTGAACCTAGCCCAGGCCAGCTAAAACAACAAATACAACTGCAATAACAACAATAACAAAAAAATAGCCAGGTGTTGTAGCAGGCACCTGTAGTCCCAGCTACTTGGAAGGCTGAGGCAAGAGAATCGCTTAAACCCAAGAGGTCTCTGAGGTTGCTGTGAGCTGTGATGCCACCGAGGGCATCATAGTGAGACTCTGTCTCAAAAAAAAGTGAAAAGGATAAAAGGAAATGGTCAGAATACAAATGCCACAGAGATTCACGGAAAATGAAAAAAGGCTCTCATTTCAATAAAGTAATAGCCCATATTGAATACTTTTCAAATCCTATTGCATTTTTACTACAGCAAAAATAGATTTTGAGATGCAGTTCCTAACATAGCCATGTTATCAGGAAAACAATAACTCAGGCTAGGTGCGGTGCTCATGCTTGTAATCCTAGCACTGTAGGAGGCCAAGGCAGGTGGACTGCTTTACCTCAGGAGTTCAAGACCACCCTGAGCAAGAGCAAGAGCAAGAGCCTATCTCTACTAAAAACAGAAAAACTAACTGGGTGTTGTGGTAGGCACCTGTAGTCCCAGCTACTTGGGAGGCTGAGGCAGCAGGATGGCTTGAAATGAGGAGTTTGAGGCTATGACACTACAGCACTTTATACAGGACATGGAGTGAGACTCTGTCTTTTT